TTCATTCAAAGCATGTCATTGATTTGCATAACACATATTCAAGATGAAGTTGTGTAGTGAACACCATAGCCAAATTGCCATATTTGCCTTTTCATTTGTTTTGTAGGATTTAACCCCGTTGAGCCTTGTGTAGCCTATGTTCTTTGTTAACCCGCATTCTCCTCGCCTAGCTTAGATTAGGACCATCCTTACCCTTGTTCTTGAAGCATAGTAAGCAATGAATTCCTTTTGATCAATGTGTTGCAGAAAATAAGTGTGGGGGAAGGATTATGGATGTGAGTTTTTGTGCCATAGGCACGGTTAGAAAAAAAAAAAAAAAAAAAAAAAAGAGAAAGAAAAAAAAAAAAGAAAAAAAAATGAAAGAAAAAAAAATTTGAAAAGTATTGGTTGTTGAAGTAAGGGCCCAAAACAATGAATTAGGCCCTAAGAGTTGTTTGAGTTTCCCCTATTTGTCTAAAAGTTGATTTTTGCATTCTAAGAGAATTCTAGGTCTTAATTTCATTGCTTTACTTGCTATTGCTTAAAGAACTTTTGTTTATCCCTACCTTCCCTTGTGAGCCAATACCCCAAGCCCCGTTACAACCCTTGACTTCTATCTTGAGTGTTGTGCATTTCAATTGTGGAGTTTGAATTTGGTATGAGCATATGGTGTCACTGGTTCTCGCATCTAAGTAATAGCATTCCATTCATGAGATCATATCCAAACACGTTTAATTACTCTAGAAATTGCTTTCTTGGTTATAACATATGTGAGTACTAGTCTTTCATGTTTACACCAATCTTCTCACATATGACTAGTGTAGGGTGTGTAGTCAGAAAATCTGAGTGAAAATTGAGTGCATAACTAGTGAGGAATTGAGGGAATTCTCTAAGGCATGTTACTACATTCAAAATGTGTTTTATTTGATTAAATGCGAACTAGTGAATGGTGACTATGATTAAGTATGTGATTGAGGGGAAGGAAGACTAAAAGCTATGTGAGTAATGATCTTTGACATGTCATGTTTCATTGGAAATCCCTGAGGCAAACGTTGGAAGGTTTAGGTTATGTTTTGTTTATTTTGTTTCGTTTTGTTTATTTTAGTTGTTTTGTTTTGCTCGAGGACTAGCAAAAGTTAAGTGTGGGGGAATTTGATAGGAGCATATTCATGCGACTTAATTAGCTTGTTCTCGTGCATTTATGTTGTGTTTATTTAGCTATTTTAGTGTTTAAGGCCACTTTTGTGTATTTTCAGATTATAAGGCCAAAGTGTGCAAGAAGATGCAAATTGGAGTCTTTTGGAGCGAAAGAGGAACGAATGAGTTGAAGACTTGAAGAAACGACGAAATCCTACTCCAACGATGAATTCTTACCAAAACAAGGAATCCTACTCAAACAAGGTTTCCTATTTTAGGAAAGTTAACCCTAAGTTTCCCGTTTTGGTAACCATTCCTAATCTTAAATGTCCGTATTTTCTAGCCACTATCCCATTTATTTTCTGACCTTAAGCCTATGCCGCACCTAAACCCTAACCTTAGCCCATTTTAGAGCCATTGCCGTGGGCTTTAGCCCAAGTCCTTTCCCTTGCCATGCAAGGGGGGCATTTTAGGCCCAAATCCATGCATTAAGCCCTTCACCCTAATTGGCCCAAATCCATGCATTAAGCCCTTCACCATAATTGGCCCAAATCCATGCATTAAGCCCTTCACCCTAATTCTTCCTCCTAATTAGTGCATCCCACCATTCCATTCCATAATTTCCATTAGTGCATCCCACCATTCCATTCCATAATTTCCATTAGTGCATCCCACCATTCCATTCACACTTAAATGCCCATTATCCCATTTTTTTAGCTTTTAATTCCACACCATCCCATTATCCTTTACATCCACTAAACCATGCATCCACATTCACCTAAATAAACCCTAAATTACATCCACTAAACCATCCATCCACCATAATTCCCACCATCCACACCTTTTCCCATCCACCAAATACCTTAAACAAACATCCATTAACACCCATTCTCTTCCTATAAATACCCATTCATTCCATTCACCAAATCATCTCATTTTCCATTGTAATACACAAACACTTCCCCTTCTCCATCTTCTCCATTTCCACTCCATTCCACACTTCCATCCCCCCAACCAACCTATCCTTAAACCTTGTGCTACAATAACGAGGAAGAGAAGAGTGCCTAAACGTTCATACAATTCAAGTTTTGAGTTGTTGGAATGTTTAGGCGTTTCTTTGATTTCAAAGTTTCATTTTAATTCTCTTTGTTTTGTACGTATAAGGAATGGAAGAGAAGAGTGCTTAAACGTTCATACAATTCAAGTTTTGAGTTGTTGGAATGTTTAGGTGTTTCTTTGATTTCAAAGTTATGAGGAACTAAATCCCCCTAGTTAGCTAGGGGGTGATTCAAAACTATGTTTATATTTGCAATATGAATTGATTAACTTTCGTTGGAATTTCATAAGTTGTGGATTCAATTTGTTTAACCGTTTGATTGATAACTTATTTATGAATGTTTATTAAGAATGCGCGCTTAATTTTCATGCATAAATATGACGCTAGAATATAAGTGAATTTCACCTAATCGTTATGAACTTATATTCACAAGTAGTGGAGGTTGCTTATAAACAATCGCGTTAAATGAATTCTTGGCACGAGTTTCATGCTCATCATAGTAACGAATGCCTCGTCAACACTTATAGTTTTCATAATGCTTAATGATCTTTGATTGTATCTTTATTGTGCTGTTCACGTAAATGACTTTTGGAGAATGTTGTGAATTGCGTTGCGCAAACCCATCCAATTCATTAACTTAAGGAAAACTTGACGGTTAATTTAAGCGGACCTAATTAATCCGGAGTGTTGAGTTTCATAATTTATCGAAAGACCAACTGAAAATCATTTTGTATGCAAGTGTAACATGTGTGGAGAAGAACCTTCTAGCTAGCATTCATTCCATATTTCATCACATTCATATTTAAATTCTGCCTTTAAATTACAATTTTGTGCTTTTAATTTATTTTCGTAAAAATCTCAATCCCCCTTTACTTTAGTGTCCAATTTAGTTAGAAAGTGTCTTAGTTTGTGTTTATAAGTGTTTTGCATTCTTTGAGTCTAGTTTAGTGTTTTTAATGTTTATTTCACGTTTTTGAGTCAATCTCCAAGTGATTTTGCAATCCCTCCTAATCCCTGGTTAAGAACGATCCCTACTTATTCATATACTACAATTGTCACAAGAGGGTTTTAATTTGTGTGCTTACTTAGTTCGCATCATTTTGTTTCTGGGAACTCACACGAGAACTTCTCAGTGGGTCACCCATCCTAGGATTGCTCTCGTGCGAACTCGCTTAACTTCAGAGTTCTAATGGAACCCGAAGCCAGTGAGCTCTCAAAAGGCCTAATGCTAGGTAGAGATGAGAATATACATATAAGGCTTATAGGATTCTCACCCCTGGGCTATGTGGGATGTAACATCGGGTGGAGAGTAAAATTTTAAAAAATGTCAAAATGACATACTATCAAATTCAAATTTTTTGTTTAAAATTTGACATCTCCTTTGGAGATGGTCTTAGCACTTGTATTCAATTGTCACGTCAGCCATCAAATAAAATTTTGACATATTATATTTGACATCTCATTTGGAGATGCTCTTATATATTAAATTTGACATATGAAAACTTATACGTCAATCCATATCGATTGGAGCTTACTCCTACCTTCAAATTTGATTACAAGGCATTCCAACTAGGATTTGACATCTCATTTGGAGATGGTCTAAAAGCAGCATATAGGTTATTTTTAAAAGCTACTTTCATACAAAATGAATCGAGCCTTTAATGATATTTTCAATTTCTGTAATACTCTTTATTTATTCTTCTACACACGTTTTATTCCTTGTAGAATAAAAATAATTGTCAACAACTTCAACTATAAACACCCTTACTACCACTGCTATTGTTGACCCCGCCAGCACCACCACTAACACTACAATATACCTTTACCATTGTCGCTACCATCACCCCCACCACCATCATCACCACATCGTCACCACTACCTCCACTACAATGTCCATTTTTGCCTTTGTATAGAAATACATTACCTATGCATTAAAATTTACAATACACTTTACATTGCTTTTAGTACTCACAACACTTTTAAAAATACAATTTACTAAACACTCACCTATTTTATTTTACAACTAATTATCATTAAAAGACAATAAAAACAGTTTTTTTTTAAAACAACACAATCTCAAACGGACACTTATTATTCCCTTGACCAACTTGCACTCCCCAATTTGGTTTTTGCTGTTTTTGGGTTTCCATAAAGGATAATTGGAAGGGAATGTAAGAGAGAAAATGCAAATTACATTTGAAAATCTATTGCAAAATTTGTGTATTTTATTCAAGTTTCGAGTTCGATTTCCTTATTTAATTTGTGCATTTGATATATGTACAGTACAGATGTGGCCTTTTACCAAAAAGAAAAAACATTCTGTACTTTTCTAATAACATTCTGTACTTTTCTAATTATGGTTGTTTTCTTTTCGTATCCAATTAAAGCACAAAACATTGCCAGATCCATATACACAGCACCGACCTTTTTGCTTCTGGAACATTTGAAATTTATAATTAGATTATATGTGATTAAATTAATCTAATAATCCGGCATTTGGTATTACGGTTCACTGGTATTCCTCTTCATTGTAATTAAAGTAATCTAATAATCCGCATTATTGCTAACCCAAAGCCGAATTTGAACTGCATTATTACTAACCTATTGTGATATAAAATTCTTCATCCCTCTTAATACAAATAATATCATTTATTAAAAAAAATATCCAATAGTCCAGATTGTCTAATTTTAAAAAATAAAAAATAGAATCCAGTTGGTCTAAAACCAAATTCACATATCACCAGGACTTTTAGGTAATTTCACAATTCCATTGCCTGGCCTGTGAGCAATAACCACTTGATGAAAAACAACAAAACGGAGGGAGAGAGAGGAGGCAGATTCTCGAAAAAGAAAAAAATAAAACCCGAAGAAAGAAGCTTCTTTTTTTCTTCACATTCCTCCTCTCTCCTGTGCGTTTCTTTAGCGTCCTTGACTCACTTTCCTCGAAATTTAGGTCTAGATTTTTTCTGTTTTTGTATTTATTGAGTCAATTTCTATAAATTTCTACATTTTTCCACAATCTTTGATTTATTTAGAATTTTAGATACGGAATCATTCTACCCATTGGGGTTTTTTTTTTTTTTTTTTTTTTTTTTTCAAAAATTAACTTACTGGGTCTCTGAGAAATCCATTTGGGTATCTGGAGTTGTTTGTTTCCCGGGAAAGTTAGTTGCTTTTGCCAAGAAAATTAGTGGGTCGTCGAGAAAATTCGATTTGAGCGAAAGCTGTATCTGGGTTTTCTCGATTTGTGAGTTGGGGTCCAAAATCGTCGCAAAAAGGAAGCTATGACGGTCCCGACAATAGCTCTGTACGCGGCGCACCCGTGCCAGATCAACGCGCACACCTCACACGATTTCGAATTGGGCTCTCGATCTTCTTCGTCAACGGCGTCGACCCCCTCCACTTCGCAGAAGCCGGTGACTGGCGGGCTCTCGTGCCTATTCTCCTCGCCGACGGTGAAGCATGCGTCTTCCTCGTCGAGTTTTTCGGGCGGAGGAGAGGAATTGGGCTCTCTATGGCACGATAGAGGCGAGGAATTGAGCAGCTCGTTTCGGTATTCTGGGAGCAAGTTCAATGGGGCTTCGATGAACCGGGACCAGAGCCCGGTTTCAGTGTTTCAGGGTCCGGTTTCGTCTTCCAGTAGTGGTGTTTCAGGGTCGGCGAGGAGCCCACCAATGAGAATTACAAGGGAAAGGTCTGGCAATGGAGATATTAGCTTGAATTCGATTCGGTGTAGAAGTAATGGGTTGTTTAATGGGTTTGTGAGGGGTGCTTTGGGCTCTTCCTGCATAGATTACGACTCGCCGAGCTTCAAGGTTCAGACTGATGGTTTGGATGTGGGTTCATCAGCTGTGCTTGTTGATGAATTGACTTTCAACATGGAAGATGGGTTTTTGGAGGGAATTGCTGAGCCTTATGCTAAGGAGTTGCTTGTGGGTGCGCAGCTGAGGCACAAGATTTTCTATGAAGATTTTATTATCAAGGCCTTTTACGAGGCTGAGAAAGCGCATAGAGGGCAGGTAAATTTTGTTTGGGTTTGAAATTTGTGTGCATTTTGTGTTTTGGGATTTTGGCGAATTGGGTTGAGAAGTTTTGTTGTATTGTATTGTTTTGTTGCAGATGCGAGCAAGTGGCGGTCCTTATTTGCAGCATTGTGTGGAGACAGCGGTGTTGCTCGCATTGATCGGTTCTAATTCGACAGTTGTTGCTGCAGGGCTTTTGCATGACACGCTTGATGATTCTTTTATGTGTTATGACTACATATTTGGGAAATTTGGAGCCGGGGTTGCTGATTTAGTAGAAGGGGTATGTGTTCGATAATTTTCATCAGTTTATTGTATTACTGAATGGTAGTAATTAAACAAGTATCAATATTTGTTTGTTTTCGTATGTTGAACACTAAATTCAAGTATTTTTTTTGGTCTAATGAGACATACATTGTTCATGGTATGTCAATTGTTTCATGGATTCTGCTTAGCTTTCTACAACATCTGCGTTGGAACTTTACAGATGGTATAATAGATGTCATATTGAATAAAAGTTAACTGTTGTCCTCTTATCTGAACGAATGCTTGTGTTATCAATTAATTCCATAGTTGAGCTCATGTTAACACGAGTTACGTGATTGTCATGGCCAAATGTTGCAGCTGTATGAAGTTAAAAATCGTGTTGCACGGTGTTCTAATTGTAAATTAGAATAGAAAAAGCAGCTGTTGAGATTTACGTAATGATACTCTATTTACAAAAGTGAAACCTAGTGAGGATTCTATAAATAGTATTGTTGCGGCGTTTGTTTTTCTATAAATATATGTATATGAAATTGACCTTAAGTAGTTCTAATCTAGTTCTTTATGGAATTTATTAGGTGTCTAAGCTCAGTCATTTGAGCAAGCTTGCCCGTGATAATAATACTGCGTGCAAAACAGTTGAGGCAGATCGCCTGCATACCATGTTCCTAGCCATGGCAGATGCCCGTGCTGTCCTCATTAAATTGGCAGACCGATTGCATAATATGATGACACTAGATGCATTACCCTTGGCTAAACAACAGAGGTTTGCAAAGGAGACTTTAGAGATTTTTGTGCCCTTGGCCAACAGACTTGGAATCTCTAGCTGGAAGGTGCAGCTGGAAAATTTATGTTTTAAGCATCTCAACCCGGATCAGCACAATGAACTGTCCTCTAAGCTTGTAGATACGTTTGACGAGGCAATGATTACTTCTGCCACGGAGATATTAGAGCGCGCTCTCAAGGATAAAGCCATTTCCTACCATGTTCTTTGTGGGCGGCATAAGAGTTTGTATAGCATCTACTCCAAAATGTTAAAGTATGTTCTCTCTCCCTCTCTCTCTACTGCATCATAAAAGTTGACCGTAATTTTTTTTATAATAAACGTAGTTCTTAATGCATCACTAGATTAATGAATTATAGTTGTATGCTTTGACATCCATGTGCTAGCACATTATTCTCCATGCCTGGATTGAAGTGAACATGCTTATGGCTTATTTTCCACAGGAAGAAGCTAAACATGGATGAAATACATGATATTCATGGGCTACGTTTGATTGTCGAAAATGAGGAAGATTGTTACGAGGCACTTAAAGTTGTTCACCAACTATGGTCTGAGGTCCCAGGAAAGTTCAAGGACTACATAACTCAACCCAAGTTTAATGGGTATGCCATACCTCTAAAGTTCTTTGGTTTCTTTATCAACATACCTCGAAAAAGTTCTAGTCATCTAGTGAATCCTTTTTCCACATTCTCATCCTAATATTCATCTAATAAATATAGCTATCAGTCATTGCACACTGTGGTGATGGGTGAAGGCATGATTCCACTGGAAGTGCAAATTCGAACGAAGGAGATGCATTTGCAAGCTGAGTTTGGATTTGCAGCTCATTGGAGATACAAGGAAGGCGACTGTAAGCACCCCTCGTTTGTGCTTCAGATGGTTGAGTGGGCCAGATGGGTGGTCACTTGGCAGTGTGAGGCAATGAACAGAGACCGCTCCTCTATTGGCCGTGACGATTTAATCAAGCCACCCTGCACATTTCCTTCGCATTCTGATGACTGTCCATATTCTTACAAGCCCCACTGTGGTCAAGATGGGCCGGTGTTTGTCATCATGATTGAGAATGATAAGGTTTGTTTCAGAAAACTTCCTGTTAATTTTGTATGAATATGTTTAATTGGTTTATAGCTGGATTTAATATAATTAACCGTATACGAGGTGGGTCTTTATGGGACTTTCTAACTTTCATATGGCAATGACTTTAAATTTTTGTATATGGATGATACTGTTGAACTGATGTCTACACCATTGTAGTTTGATATTTGCAATTATGCATTAAGCATGGTGTCTTTAGTTGATAGACGCATATTATGCAACTTGTTGAGTTTCCACATTACAAACAAAGTTGGGACAAGCAAAATAATATGGCACGCATTTAGCAATCGGGTAGGCACAAGTCTTGACGTGAATAAGTTTGTGTTGGGGTTTTGTAGATTTAATTGTAAGAAATGGCCGTATTTTCCGTTTATATCACAGAGACAATTTGTTCGTATTGTATGCTTTTCATTAATCTTTATTCGAAAATATACAGAAAAACAAGGAGATACTTATTTTCAACGAGTCTGACCATGTACGTTCTATTATTCCAGATGTCTGTGCAAGAGTTTCCTGCAAACTCCACTGTTATGGATCTGCTGGAAAGAGCTGGGCAAGGGAGCTTGAGGAGGACACCATACGGGTTCCCACTGAAGGAAGAACTGAGGCCCAGGCTGAACCATGCGCCAGTGAACGATCCTACATGCGAGCTGCAGATGGGGGATGTGGTGGAACTGACTCCAGCTATTCCGGACAAGTCCTTGACAGAGTACAGAGAAGAGATTCAGCGCATGTACGACCGGGGCTTGAGTGTATCGAGTGCAGGGCCTGCTAATAGTATGGCAGGTTGGAGAAGTTGACCGGCACGCAGATTGTCCTGTTTATGGTTGGTTGTATCTAGTGACACCAAAGTCATTCTTATATATAAATGAAAAGCATTTGTACAGAACAGGTACGTGGTTCTGTTATTCAATGACTAACTGAATTCAACGAGGTGTTAAAATTGTTTTATCTTGAAGGGTTTTCACTTTGTATGCACTATTGTCTCCCGGCATTTATGTTTTTACAAGTTTCTGTATCGGATGACTAAACTTGCAACGCGCCTTGTTATTTCGACTTCCTTTTGCTTCTCCGTTGACATGTTGACGAATTCTCGTATCCCCTTACCGTATCGGCCAATTGTTATTTTGATTTATACAAGCAATATTAGGAGAGGGAGAAGGATAGGGGACTAGTAGTCGATGGAGATTAGCTAATGTCTTACATACGATGAAGAGTTTATGCAGATTTTCCAGAGTAACAGATAGTTTGGAACTTTAATCGTTAAAACTTTACTTTAAAATACAAATTAAATCTAACAGTTAAAAAGTCCAGAATATCATATACTCCATAGTATCATAGAACTTTTGGAGTTTTTGATCACAATGGGTAAGAATAAAGGCAAAACTGGTTCATGTTTTTTTAGTACAAGCGATATTACTACACTTAATTACAAACTATGGGGACGGGGAGGGGGAGGGTTTGACCGCGAGACGCACTAAGTTGAAGAAAATGCCTAACCACCAAGGCAATCCACCACTTGCACTTCTTGTTTAGTAACCATCTTACGTTATAAGCATTCAAACTTAACTGTAAATCAACAGGACTGCAGAAGTAAACAGCATATCTGTTTCTTCCCATCGGCCAGATCCTCACTTTGTGCGTTTAGTGAGGGGGAAGGATACCCTTTGGGGCGTGTTCTGGGCACCCCAGAGGGCTTTGGTTCTTCATCCTCCACCATTTCTTCCGTTGCTTGCGTTGGTTGTTTCTTCGGGATTGCAAGTTGATAGTTCGGGCTGATCAACGTGTTCAGGTGGCAATGCCACTCCAGGCCCTGCAATTGATTCTGGTAACGGGATTTTGTTTCTGTTTCTAGCCAACTCCGGTAAAACCTGATAATGAGTGTCAGTCCCTTAAGATAATGCTCGATGAAAACACACGCACGCACATACACAAGCTGATGAAAGCGTATTATGTTTGACAACTTTGCTTGATGTTATAAAATGACATAAGAAAGTTTTGATGCATCTTCTCGAACAATTTTATTACAGGAACTCAGATTTAGCAGATGAAAAAAATAAACAACATATCGATACCATAGCTCCAGGAACTGGTGAACAACACGAGGTTCATATTCCTCCAGACCCATTGATTTCAACAGTGTTTTCACGATCTTAGCGTCTCTGGGCAAGTCCTCATCTTCCCCTGCCATTTTCTGGTTCCGGGTACTTATGTTAGGCTGGCCGGCACGGTTGGGATGGGATAGACCTCTAAACTAGTGAACCTTCCTGTGAAATTATCAGTTACGAGTCACTTTGTTGCACCAGAAATAAGCATTCAGAACTTTGGAGGCAGTGATTGATGAACATACAAAATTTGGGGAACAATTAACACAATAAGCATAGCAAACTAGCAGAAATTCGAGGCAGTGATTGATGAATGTACAGATTTCTTGGCAAATTAACACAACTAGGATAGAAACCTATCACAAACTCGAGGCGATAATTGATGAATATACAAATTTGGACGAAGATAAGCAGTGAGCAGAAAACACAACGAACGACGGAGGCTGCTATTAGCGCAAATTAAAACTGGTAGAGGCCAACAATTAAAAAGGAAATACAATCAGATCCAATTATATCAAATACTGAAAGGAAAAAAACATGATATTCTGATTCACGCCCCCTTCAATCTCCCCTGCTTACCGGAAATTTGCATGGAAAGGTCGACTTTTATATCCGAATTGTGTCCCTTGTAATAACTAAAGTACAGGTGTTGAATATTGATTGGTTAGAATGTAATAAGGAGAGGTGTAGAGGATTGCCACATAGGCAAATTAGTTAGGAATGTAGTGTTATAAAAGCTACTGTACAAACGTTTACAATTCATTCAATTCAGTTGGTTCTCTTTTCCGCTGCTTATCTTCTTTCTCTCTCTAACCTTTCTTTCTCAAGCTTCTTGAATTCTTCGATCTTCATCTGCTAAGAGTTCTTGGAGTTATCATGGTATCAAGAGCCAGCGAACGTGCGTGGGTCTGTGCTCGTCAGAATTAGTGATGGAAGCGTGATGGTTTGCAGATCTGTCTGGTGATTTGGAGTATTTTTCTTGGCGATTTGGGGTTTTCTATATGCAATCAAGGTGAAGCAGGAATTTCAGATTCTGTGTTTACAGTGCTTCAATATATTGTTTTTTTTCTCTTGAAATGCTTTTGGGCGATTCTGGTATCTTTGAGTAGTTTGTGTTCAGTAATTTTGTTTGATTTGCGAAGATGAAGTTCTGAAGGCCAAAGTCATTATTAGATAGTTGTTGAGCACTGGGTAGTTGAGAAGGCCAATGTCATTACTCTGTGCTAAGAAGGAATCTAAAGACCAATGCCATTGATTCAAGAAATTTGAGTTAGTCAGAAGTTTATTTCAAGAAAATTGTTGTGTTTTTCTGAGAATTATTCAAAGAGTTGTTAAAAGGTTGATTCTTGAACTATATTAGGTATGGCTCCCTCTGTGAAAATTGAGGGATTGTTGGGCATGTTGACTATTCGCCTTGGTGAGCACAATTACACCAAATGGTCATTTCAATTCAAGTCTGTGTTAAAAGGGTACAAACTGTTCGATCATTTTGATGGTTCAGCTCCTTGTCCATCGAAATTTGTGGTTAGTACAGAAATTGGGGTTACCAAAGAACTGACTACTGCCTTTCAAGATTGGGAGACCACAAATTTGTCACTATTAAGTTTGTTGATAGCAACGTTGACTGATGATGCTATAGAATATGTTATAGGGTGTAAGACTGCTGCTGAAGCTTGGACAAATCTTGAGGAAAGGTTTGCATCTGTGTCTAGGACAGGTGTTAATCACTTGAAAACGGAATTACATACAGTTCAGAAAGGTGGAGATTCAATGGATAAATATCTGTTAAGGATCAAGTCAATTAGGGATCAATTGATGGCTGCTGGGGAATATGTATCAGATAATGATGTGATGATTGCCGCTCTTGCTGGGTTACCCAAAGAATATGCAACTATTAGGACTGTTATACTTGCGAGAGACTCTAATGTCACTATGAAGGAATTTAGGGCATTATTAATTGGAGCTGAAGGGGAAAATGATGTGGTGATGAATTCATTGACTCATAATATGGCTGCTTTGTATGTGCAAGGAAATAGTGGTGGTTCAAGTTCTTCTCTGTATACTAATGGTGCATCCAGTTCCAATTCTTCTGCAAATGAACCATCTAGTACAGGAGGTGTTCTTACTACTACTCCGCTACCACAACAAATGTCATTCTTTCCACAGTCTCAAATGGTGCAACCTGCTTATTTTCCTAATCAAAGTTCTTACGGCTCAGGTGGTGGTTATGTTGGTAACTTGGAGTAGCATCCACAAGACAACTCAAGGCAACATCAATCTTCAGCACCGTTTAATGGAAATCAACAAAGGTTTTACAATGGAGGACAGGCAAGGGGAAATAGTACTTATCGATCAGGATTCAAAGGTAAAGGGTCTAATTACAGGAACAATAGTGGTTGGAATGGAAATATTGAGTTCAGAACTACGTTACATCCAGAATGTCAAATCTGTTAGAGAAGAGGGCACACTGATCCGAACTGTTTTTATAGAACTGCTCAGAGTACTTCACCACATTTTAATACTGAATGTCAGATTTGTGGTAAAAGGGGACATAGTGCTCTGGAATGCTATCATAGGGGAAATTACTCCTACTAATCCTCTGGGCCTCCTGCTTCTCTTGCACCTACATTTCCTGGTCAATCTTCAGTGATCCCTCCATCACAGGGTTTTGTTCAACAGCCTCCGAATTTTGCTGCTCATTATTCATATCAGGTGCATCCACCTGTCATGCAAGGGATGAATGCTCAACAGAACATACATGAACCTGATCTTTCATATCAATTACAACTTGCAATGCAAGGGATGAGTGTTCAAGGTTCACCATCATATTCCAATGCTGCAAATTGGATTGTGGACATAGAAGCATCACACCACATGACATCTGACCTTGCTAGCTTACACCAAGTTTCTCCTTTTGAAGGTTCCGAGAAAATTAAAATTGGCAATGGTCAAAGTTTGCCAATTCAGAATACTGGTTCTGCAATTATTAAAACACCTTCTCATTATATTATAATGAAAAATGTGCTACATGTTCCATCTCTTGCTGTGAATCTAATGTCTGTAAAGCAACTGTGTAAAGATAACAGATGCTGGTTTATCTATGATGACGTCAATTTCTTTGTGCAGGACAAGGTGACAAGGGAGATCTTGTACAAAGGAAGGAGTAGACCTCAAGAGTTGTTTCAGATTCCTGTGTCATTATGGACAGTTCCAAGGGCTTTTATTGGACAGTTGATAAAGTCTTCTCTCTGGCACCAACGGCTAGGGCATCCTACAAATGAAGTCATGGTAGTTATGTTAGCTAAGTCTCATATTCCAGTCTCTATGGATAATAAGCATACCATGTGCACAGATTGTATTCATGGGAAGATTACTCAAAAACCTTTTGATAATGAGTCTTTTAGATGTATCTTACCTTTTGCTAGAATCCATTCAAATGTTTGGGGACCCTCTTCAGTTAAGTCCGTTTGGGGACCCTCTTCAATTAAGTCTATAGAAGGGTATAGATTCTATGTTGTATTTGTTGATGATTGTACAAGATACATGTGGATTTTTCCACTATATAATTAATCAGAAGTGTTTTCCATATTTGTCAAGTTTTACAAGTATATTGAGCTTCAATTTGGAGCCCAAATAAAGTGCTTACAATCAGATGGGGGTGATGAGTTTGTCAGTAATTCATTCAAAGAATTTATGCAATCAAAAGGAATGGTTCATAGAATTTCATGTCCATACACTCCACAACAAAATGGATTGGTTGAAAGAAGACACAGGCATGTAGTTGAAACAGCAATAACTTTGATGAATGCTGCTGGGTTATCACAGGAGTTTTGGTATCTGTCTTGT